CCTGTCTCTTATACACATCTAGATGTGTATAAGAGACAGGTACTGTGTATAGCGGGGGGCGATGAAGCATAATAATACGCATAGGCCTAAGTAGACAGTGCAATAATTATATGTGATAGAAAGTACACTTTCAAAAGAAATAAATGAAAATAAGAAAAAAAAAATTAACTGGGGTTAATTCAGTTGCAGACGTACCTTGTTTAAATATGCTAACTATGCGGCTCTTGTAGCCCTCTAGGCAAGGCATTCATGTGCAAAGCAGTGGTGTTTGTTTATCCATGAAAAAAGCATGCCGAGAAAGTTTGCCTTACCAGGAAAAGGTGACGTATTCTAGCTTATGACATATGCATACAAACTATAGTGTGAGTGTGACGTCACCAAAAAATAAAAATTTTCTATTATAAAAACCAAAATATTATTAACTACAAGGTGGCCGTAAATTCCCTTAATACAAATTAAGGGTAGCACCATCTCCTTGCTATACAAATTACAGCTCCCATTGACTTCTCAGTCGAGAAATACGGGTAGCTGAAGTTTTTCTCGAAAATCTGACTACGAAACCAAATCGAAATTCACGTTCCACTTCTGACTCTGACTTATGCTTTGCACACGCTTTGCGGCATTCCGGGAACCCTGCATCTAGAATTATAATACTGTTGTAATCCTCTGACCAGTGAAACCCTAAACTGTCATATTTTTCGGGGGCTTCCCCCCAACCCTCCCAACCACTTTCGAGACATTTTGAGTCCACCCCAGCAAATTCATCCCCTTAACATTTTACCTTTCCCCTCCCCACCCCTCCTCCCCTTACTTCCCCTCCCCAACCCCGCCACCCAAGATTTCAGACGCTGGCGCCGCCACCACTGCTAATATCACATTGTAAACCAGCTTAGGAACAGCCAACTACCGTGCCGGGCCCTTGGCCTTGCTTGACAGATAGGAGGTCACCCTTAATAAATATAATTAATAATTGGGCCTAGTAGGGCTAGGGTAGGCCTAGAGGGCTAGATGCCTAGGCCTAGTTAAAATGATTACGTAAGCGCAAACCTTTTGCTGGGTTAAAGACTGTGATGTTTTCAGTTTCGTTGTGACTTGTTGGTATAGAGCGTGTCCCATTAATGAAATTCAGAGGTTGACTCAATATTGCTGTAGAAAACCGTCTGGTCCTAGGCCTAGGCCTAAGCATACAAGTTAACTTAGGACATAACATCTTTGCACTTTATGTAGGCTGCCGCGATACTCTATCGGGATTCGGTACGCGATTTTTTTTTCCGTACGAAACATTTGCATGAAACTTCACTCGGGCCATCTCGGATTGACTCGAGTGAGTCCGATACGAGGAACAAGAGCAGACACTTCGCAATGTCGTGACGCTCGAGTTTTACTATTATTGCTCTTTCTATGTTTACCTACGGTAGGCTTATGAAATCTCACGGACTTATGTGATATACGTCACTGTGTAACTAACTGCGACGTTCTTGGATGTTATTAAATGTTAGTATATTATCTACAACAACAGCAGCAGCCTAGTACCTCCTGTTATAAAGTGTAGATAGGTAAAAGTT